AAAAAAAAAAAAAAAAAAGTCCAAAACATGAACCCATATCGTTCGGGGTGTTTAACCAAAAAACAAGCCCAAGTCAAAAAAGGGAAAAAAATTCGAAAAACCGGGGGATTATTCTCTATGTTCCCTTCCAATTTCCCCCTAATGCCCCTTTTTTGGCCCCCCCCCCCCCCACCCCCCGCTCGCTCCCCCAATTTTGCATAAGCATTGTTTTCAATTTCTCTTGGGACGGCTGTAATACCCAGGAGAAATGAAAAAAAGAAATTATGAAAAATTTGGGGGATCAAATAACGTGCATTATGGGAGATGTGCAAGTCGCGTATTGATTTCCGATATGGATTTCTCTCGATTGACTCATGGTTTACAAAATCCCGAAGTTTGTTTATTGGACAATAATAAATGAGATACCGCCATTCAAAAAATCTCCAAAATTTACTGTGAATTATATAGACGAAGGGAATTCTAAATTAATACATCTCTTTTCATTAATTTTCAAGTTTTTGTGTATGGCTACATGTGCCATATTCAATATTGACCGGATTTCACATACAAACTTGCGGTTTGCTCATTCTGACAATACATGTGGATTTTATAACACACGGACTCGTACCCAAAGTTCCCTCCGTTTTAAGCCTTACCTGTTTTCAATTCTTTACGATTTCAGATCCTGCAGCAGCTCTCAGCTCGATCATGCTGTTCTTGTTGTTGGATACGGTACATATGAAGGGAAGGACTACTGGCTGGTCAAAAATTCCTGGGGGACCCTCTGGGGAATGGAAGGCTACATCATGATGTCGAGGAACAAGGATAACCAATGTGGAATTGCCACAAGTGCCAGCTATCCTCTTGTTTAATCTCCGGGCCTCTAAGAACTTAGCCTGTCCACAGACGGTTTTCCTTTTTGTCGACAGTTTGAGGGTGCGAGAACATTTTCTCTTTTTTCTACCCCCCCCCCCCCCCCCCCCCCCCCCCCCCCCCCCTCACCATAACCCCCCCCCTCTCTTTCACTCCTCCCCTCTCCGTCCTCCCTTACAAAAAAAAAAAAAGAAGGTCACCCCACCACCAAAACAAAACCAAAACAACCAAACACCACACACAAAATACATGGTTTTTTTTTCTGTCTTTTTTGACCTTTTTGTTTTTTTTTTTTTGCTATGACAACATCGTTTTGTGGGAAAAAGATCAAACCCATGGGGATTTCCCCAAGGCCCCCCTCTCCCCTTTTTTAAACTCCCGGCCCCTAAAAATTATAGCCTGCCCCAAAGGTTTTTTCTTTTTTTGCCCACGTTTGGGGGGGGGGAAAATTTTTCCTTTTTTTCCCCCCCCCCCCCCCCCCGCACTCCCTTGCGCATGCAATCAATTAATCCTCCGCGAGTTTTATATCCATACGCGTCCTTGACGATCTCTAAAGAGAAAACAAAGGGTCTGTCAACAGGCTACTAAGACCTAAGCAACAATACCCAAAGCATCATCAATAGCTAGTTTTTTTTTGTCCGTTGTAGATCCTGTATTAAATTTGTTTAAGGAGTAGCAGTGCCAGAACCATTTTGTCATATTGCGATGCACTGTTTTCAGTTTAAACCCGACTGAGTGTGTTTTTTATTTTGTTGCGTAAACTCTTTAAGTACTGTGCTAGATTAAAGACTGTAAATAGGTTCCCTATTAGAGGGATAGAGCGAAATCGCGAATAAATCGACTTCCTTCAACTCTACATTACCGCCACCCCCTCCCCCCTTAAGCATATTCACAGGCAATCTTTTCCCGAGTTCGGGAGGGACAAGAAGGTCTGAAAATTTCTTCCTTGCTTTTTTTCTACGCCCGTGTTTTATGAAGGCGCTTTCTTCTAGACTGCTGTCTTACAATGGACTCGTTCTTTCTATGATGTATCGGCTGGGTTGCCTGTTCCTGGCCCTCAGTTAACCACAAGAGGGACTGAGAGGAAAGAAAAGCGAACTTGAGAAAATAACAGACGGTAACTTAAATTACTTTGACCAAAGAGCCTGAGCCGGGAGCTCCCAGTCACTCGCACCCAGGGTAACCATCAGAGCAGACCCAGACAACCGAATGAGTAGCCTCCCACGCAGACGGTCTTAGGGGTTCGTTACGCGTTCCTGCCCCACTAGTGGGGCAGGAACGCGTAACGAACCCCTAAGAATGTCTGCGTGGGAGGCTACCGAATGAGGGGGGAATGAACCAGAATGAACCAATTAAATCTTGAAGCAAATACATCAAGCACTTACTATTGAATTTTGAAATTATTCCTGCCCAGCAAAATGCATAGCTTCCACTCTTTAACGCGATTGTGGGTTCTTCTTTTTTACGACCTGCCATGCCCTTCAGGACCTTACCGTTCGCTTTTTTTCTTTATTTGCCCTACCCAGCCGGCAGTCTCTGTACCTGGTTTGAACAGAACACTGAATAGAGAGGCAATTTGAGAGAAATCGGTTTCTCCGTGTATACAAGATAGGGCCCTACGGCCCCCCCACCCACTAAAGGTTCAGTCTTCAGCTAGCAGCCGTGGGTGTCTCGATGCGCCGGGCCGGGGAGAATAGTGGGCGCTGCATTGAGGCATCCATGGCTGGAGACTAAACCTATAGTGTACCTGAAAGACTAATCTCTAATGTCAACCTCGTCCCATGGGCTTTTCCCATTTTTTAAGGGCTCCTGCAAAAAACACTTACAGCTTTGAGTGTGAAGTTCTCTCGACCGGGGGATGAGAAAAAAGAGCGAACCCTGGTACTAGTAATCTAACAATAGCGGAAACAGAAGAGTGAAAATGGCGTTGGACGGTCTCAGTTACTTGTCAGCAGATTATCCGGCAGTTGTTGGAAGACCGAGATCTCCGAGACGAAGCCCAAGGCTAAGAATGAATGAAGAAGATGAAGACGAAGTAGATAAAGAAAGATCTTCGCGAAATGTTGGGATAAGGGCACCGATCATTGGCTATGAAGTGATCGATCAACGACAAAAATTTACGGTACGTTTGCAATCCTAATTCCTTAATTTCAAGTTTTTGTCGACCGTTGGTGTAAAAAGAATATCAGAAACATATAGTCATTGCCTTTATATGCAATAATTTTGTTTTCGCAATTCGGCGACAACGCTGTTTTGGCAGTTTTGGTTTAATGTTTATGTATGAGGCGCGTGACTTCGACCTATGATGATCTTGCATGCTATTCACAAATAATTTATGCGCTTTTGCCAGGATATACAATGTAACAATTTTCTGCTCTCTAATACTTATGAAATTATCTCTTAAGCTATTTTTGCATCGTATTGTTTGGTCATTTTCTTTTTGCTTTAAAGTTGTTGCCGAATAGAAGTGCATGCATGACCAGCTAAAAAACAACTTTGTTTTTGATTTAAATATGAAATAAATGGTCAGACACTACACGGCGCTAATTTACAGAATGTAAAGTAAGCTAAGAAGCTTAGACTATTCCAAATGTCTTAGTCTGGATATTGTTTGCGTTTCATAAAGCACTTAATGCCTGGATATTGTTCATGTTTTCCGAGGAAGTTGAAGTGGTTTCACCCTTGACTGGGTTTTTTTCTTTGACGTATTGAACTGAAGTTAAATTATGCAAAACTTTAAATCAATGTATGAACTTTGGAAAAAGTATTATTTACCTACTGCCGTTTGCAAATTTTTTATAAATGAGATCAAATGTATAGTCCGGTTATCTGAATCCACAAATATTAAATGGGATCGATATCATTTTTGTTCATTTTCTTGCTTTTTAAAAGTAAATGGCAGTAAGAGTGAAATCTTACAATGATACAAGGACAAATAGCTAAATTAAAGCTTGTACATTTTCGAGTCAATGCGAAGATGAGCATGCATAGCCTCATTAAATGCAAACATTGTTTCAACATTTCAATTGACCAAGGGTTTCATTAAGTACCCAAGATCGGATAATTCTCCGTCTTCTATGCATAATTATCTGGCAAAATTTCAATGAAGTATGGCTATTTTTTATTCTGACGAATCAGACGTGGATACGTTATGTAGAAGGAAATTATTTCCAGAAATGGGTAATTTTAACGCTTAGCCACTTGCTTTACATTGCTAAATAAATAACAAATACATGAAAGACCTTATTTTTAAACCTAATGAAACTAACAGGAAACGTGTAAAATATTAGACTGTTTGCTGAAGCGTGGAGAGTTGACTGTATGCATGACGCTTTTTTATTTTCATGCAAATCCAAATTTTGAGATTTTTCTTTTTTAACGTTGACTTCTAAAACGGTACGTATATTGTAACTGAGAGGAAACAAAGAAGAAATATTAATCAATATTTGACAAATTGTCTGTTAAACTGGACAGGCAAAGTTTTACGCTGAGAGCGAATTTGTGTAAATGTGTTCTAGCTGGCGCAAGCACATGTGATGCCGACATAGGCGGGAAAAATTTCTCACGGCTTGTGCTTTCACTATTTAAAATATCCTAAAAATATTGAATTGAAGATATAGTGTATTGAGAATTATTTTATTTTCTATCTTTGCTATGTTTGGTATTTAATAAGATACTGCCACATGTCACAAGTCTAGGAGTGTGTAACAGGGAAGTTGATCGTAATTTAACAATATGTCTGGTAATTCGAAGAAAAAATGTTTTGAAACCATGTAGAGGTATGCAGTGTTTTTTGCCCGGCAGCTACGAGAAATAAAATTTGCTATCAGACAATAGGAAAAGGCATCTCAGTGGGGTTTAAAGTGCGAAATTTCCAGCCTCATTTTCAACCTCTTTGTGGGAAAGGGCATTGCTCTTTCAAAATATTCTCCTGTTACTTTACACTATTCTCCTGCTACTTCAGTTCTTAATGAAACCCCTGAATTGATGAAATTGGCCCAGTTTTTTCGAAAGTTGGATAACTAGTGCTCTCCACCAGATAAATCGCAATCCAGTAAATAATTAGTATTGCAAAAACCAATATAGTGTTATATAATACTAGATAGTGATTTATTGACAGTGGATAGCTCTATCCACTTTTTTAACAACTGGAGCCTGGAAGGTTATTGTGATATACTACCAGTAATGGCCTGTCATGAAAATACATCAGCACTGGTTGCAGTTATCCGCAGTTGTTCAAAAAGGGTATATATAACGCTACTCACTGGTGGATACATCTCTATAATGTATAATGCAGTAATTGGCTTCCCTAATACTCATCTTCTGAATAACAATTTATCCGGCGTTGATAGGGATCTAACTGTTTGAACACCTCGGACCTTAAAAATTAACAGTTCTTGCTACAACCTTATCCATTCCATTGGCTGTCCAAATTTCAAATTTCTTACAGTATCTTATCTACAAACTCTTAATCTCTTCTCTGTTGTGTAGTTGCATGCAACCCATCTTTGTGTTGTTTGACGCCATTTCTGCTGTCCTTTGTCGCTGTTTCAAGGCCTTGTCTCTTGTTGGATTTAACTTAATGGGGCCTCTTATCTAAAATTAATGATAGTGTTAAAATGAGGTTGAAGTTGACACAGTTCTCTTGCTTTTCTTATTGACAATGAAAATCCACCTCAGTGGAGGGTTTGTCTCATAAAAGTCCTCTTTCACTTACAATAAATAAATATAACCATTTAGAATTACATTATAGTGTAGACTTGAACATTTATTTTTTCTTTTCAAGGTCTTTAAAATTGAAGTTAAAAGCTCGCAAAGAAGCTGGTTTGTCTTTCGCCGATACACTGATTTTACACGACTCAATGACAGAGTAAGTCAAGATAAATAATTATTATTTATAGCTAAAAGCCTCTTATCCAACAGTCTTCATGACATTACGCCTTTGCAAATGACTCCAGTTTAAAGTAATATTATTCCAACAGCTTTTCGATTTATTATTCTATCAGTGAGATACGGTAATGATACTGAGCACTACATGCATGCTCCGTGCATATGCCCTCCTTACACTTGCTCACTTGCCCTTACCCAAATTGCAAGCTGTAAAACTGACTTTTCACCCTGAATTTAGTGTTTTTAATGTTTTTCTTTTTTATGATGTTATAGTTGAAAGATGCATATCCAAACTTTCAAATTAAACTTCCTGGCAAACGATGGTTCAAGGATAACTTTGACGCAGGTATATAAAATATGATTAGTAATAATTCATTCTTAAAAACGAAATTTTATCCTTTTCATACAACCCCTGTCATATTTGCCTTATCACCCTAAATTAGCCACTGAACAATTTTCATTTGTACAGTTAAGTTGACTGAAGAGCTTGTGACAGATATGAAAGCTCAAGGACAATAATTTCTTAATTATTAACAAAATAATCTATCTGTCAGTCTCTGTAGATATCATTTATATATAATAGAGATATCTGAGAAATAAGTTTGAAACCCTTATGTAAACTCACTGTTGTTTTTGTTCATTTTTCAGCTTTCATAGAAGAGAGAGCGAGAGGATTACAATTTTTTATCAACAATGTGATGAATCATGCTCAAATTTCTCAAAGGTACTGTTAAGACAGGTGTCTTAATAATTTTCAAATAATATATTAACCCTTTAAACCTTAAGATCAAAATTTAAATTCGCATTTGTTGCCCCTATTCATTTCCAACAGAAGTAGTGGGAAGAAGTTGATAAAATATCAAGCACATTCATCTTGTGTGATCATGTCTGTAATTCACATGACCACTCTCTTTTACAAAGCATTGATATCACAGAGAGAAATTTGATGCTGATCACTGTACTCTTAGGGCTTAAAGGGTTAAGACCTCCGGATTAAATGAAGGTTTTGTCTGGTTGTCTGGGCCCAATAGATTTTGTTGCAGGGCAAGTAACTTTAAAAGCTTACTTGCCCAATGATCGAGGGTTCAGGCAAGCCATCCTTTAAGACGAGAAAGAAGTGGCCCCAGGCAGGCAAAATGTAAGAGCTGCTAGCCATGCAGGGTAGGGTTCTAGGAATTTGGCAGGGGCAGGATCATGTACTTTTGCTGTCAAAAATGTAAAGGTAAAGAGTCCTTATTTTATGTCGGTAGCTTGAAATAGTCATCTGACTAACAAACCTGAGGCCAATGGTGCGCTCATTTTACCCCCCTCTCTCTATCCGTGCTCCATTTTATGGGTATTTAAAGCTACTTTAAGCTACACAGAAAGGAAAGAAGTCAAAAGAAGGATTTGTGGTCACACCTGGGAATTGAACTCAGGACCTCCTGCAAAGAAGACCACGCACAAACCAACTGCGTTAATCCTTCCTCCTGGAGATTGCTCTGCTAGCTTGCTTGGTTTCCTCCCATCCTCCAACATCCATGCATGGTCTCTAAGGGTCATGTTGACAGGTGTCTGGAGGTGAGCTGTGCCAGGCTGGTTGCCATGATGACCTGCTTGCCTCTGAAGTAGCCACAAGGAGCTTGGAGTGTTATTGTATTTCAGGCACCCCTTTTGATTATTATTCTGCCACATATTCTTAAATAAGGTATCAGTGGCAGATTCAGATCTTCAATTATATGAATGTAGGGGTTAACTCATCCTATGATAAGATGGGTGCCTGGTCTTGAAAATTAATTTCCTCGGCTCCTTGGCTTCAGTTTGACCTTAAAAATAAGTTGGGGTGAAGGGGGGTGTGGGGGTGGGTTCAGACCCAACCCCACCCCAGGCCCATCTCCTGGATATGCCACTGGTTGGAAAATGTAAAGTCAAAATTAAAGACATGAAAGAGGTAATAAGTTAACTCTAGACTAATAGCAATATTGATTGTTTCTTTACAGTATTGAAGTGCAGGAGTTCTTCTGCTTGAGTGATCCTCCTGGACCATATGATAGCTTGGAAGAGAGTCGGGTACGTTTTCAAAGACAGCAATGTTCCTTTAGCTTTAAATTCTCATCTTCTAGTGGCAGTTGGCACTCCTAGGCATTCATCATACAAACGTATTTGTTGAGCATCTGATGTTATGCACTGGTGTCATTTTAATCAGCATCAGCATTTTATAAGTTCTCTAGAAAATTAAGCCCTTTTTGCTCTTAGATCAACTTTTCAATTTACATTAATTTTAAAAAAATGCAAATATCCCATTGTATACATTGACATAAGAAATCCTATAATTAGGGGAAGTGTCTTAACCAGGTAAAGTGGTTATTCTTCATGATGCTTCAGCTTATTGAAAGTGCCCTTGTTGTTAGTTATCAGATCATCTTTATCATCGCCATCATCATCATCATCATCATCATCATTACTGTTATTTTTATTATGAATATTTTTGTTTTAACAGATGTATTTCCCTTTTAGCTTGGTTTGGTAGTTCTCCTAATTTTTCTGTTAATGTGATGATTCTTTAAAGAACTGTTTCTTTTGAATTTTTTCGTTTTACTTCTACATGACTGCATATTTTATATATATAAAATGACCAAACTATTATATGGAAAAAGTCACTTGAGAACATCACATGATCTGAAATAAGTAAACAAACAACCCAAGCTAAAAAGGCCTACTGACCAAAGTTTGTTTATTTGTTTTTAATAGGCTTATTGTCATCACTTGGAAGATCAAGTTGAGGACTTGAAACAGAAGGTGGAGGAACTTACGGCAGAGCTAAAAATAACAAAGTCACAGCTGGTTCAAGCTAGAGTACAACAGGAAGCTTTAGTGAGCGCTTTAAGATCTGAGCGCAGTCTAAGAAAGAAAAAATCAACAGAAAGCTCTCGTAATTCAGCTGATGTTGAAGAGCTTATGGAGAAGAGTGAAAATTTTGCAAATGTGGATAGCCTTCGAGGAAAGTTTTATCACCTGTTGCATAGTGATCAGTCTAGTAGCAAGGGCGAAGAAGATAACATTAGTGGAAATGAAAGAGAAAAGGACAAAACAATTTGGCCTGGAGGTGTTGAGATTGTAGAGCACTCAGATGGAACTAATAGAATAAGGCCTTCTCAACTGGTGAGGCGGATTTCACAGGAGGCACAAAACCCTCGAACATCTACTCCTGCATCCAGTCATAGCGAGAGTTCACAGCCAGCATTTCTCGATGAAGAGAATTCAGCAAAGAAAGAATTAGAAGAATCTGATAATAGCAGTGAAAAAACTAACGATGCAAAGTCTGCAAGCAATATTCAATTGCCTGAAGATCAGGTCACAACAGAGGGAACTAGTCATCAGGAAGATTTAAGAGGTGCATCCAGGCGGAAACCAAAAAAGCGTTCCAGTAAAAGAGATAGTGGAATAAGTGTTGATGTTTCTCCTACACCAAGCACATAAAGCTTATTTATAACTCTTTCAAATGAAAATAAGTGGATATCCACAGGACCTTTATTTGCTTGAAGGGGTTACTCAAGGTTTATGGTGACTGATGGAAAGGTACAGACAGCTTTTCTGGTTCTGAAATTCAGGATTTTGGGATTTCCTATGTTAACAAAATTTTGACTTTGCCTATTTTTGTTGTCACTTCAAAAAAAAACCATTAAAAAAATTATTTTTATGAAACGGATATTTAAAACAGTTACATTGTGTTGTGTTAAAGCTTGGTTCAGGTGATTTTTTTTTTCACTTCAAAGTTTGTGTGTTTTGGGGCCTTAACACTTGCTCTCTAATATAGTGAGTCAAGGAGGGTTGACTTGAGCCTGTGGACATTCAAAGTTAATTTGTTTGCCAGTTCTTTGACTAGGTGCTGTTTGTTTTTCAGCACTTCATTCAAAATGAAATTTGGAAAATTTATGGCTACTTTTTTCTTCAATCATCATAAACGTAGCGTACCCCTTCCCCCCTGAGTTTTGCACTTAATGAAGGTGGAATGAATTGTTTGAGGGCTTAGAATTATGCTGGTGCCTGCATAATTGTGGGTGTTCAGTTTATTTAATTTTCTGTGCGAATGGTACCATGCAAGAGCATTAGTGAATAGGCCCTGGATTTCACACTCAGATTCAAAAGTAAAGACTATTTTCATGTATTCGTAATTGTACTGACTGTGAGTAGTTATATAATAGGATTAATAACTTAAATACAGTGTGTGACTGTTAATGGCCAATAAGTCAGTTAGAAGCAGTGGGCAAACACAGTAATTATTATTGTCATTATTGTTATACAAACTGGTGCTTTGAATTTATCCAAGTATCACTAACATACGTAATAAGTGTTCCTGTATGTTGCTGGCGTGCACTGTTAGGGCGAGAGCAAAAAGGTTAGGCGGTAGAAAAAATGGTTCCTTAACTCTCCCTCACCCTGTCCCACCCCTTTTTTGCTGTGGCCCCAACTTACAGCACGCTTCTTTCGTATTTCTCGACTGGGAGGTCTCGCTGCTCAAATACTAAAGGGCGTGTTTGTTAGGCAAGATTAAAGTTCAGCAGTGACGTTTTAGTGACTGTTTATCTCGATCGACTTGACATATTTCCGTTGATGTTGAAAACTGTTGTGAGTATTCTAGACCGGCGTTTACTCCATTGGAGGAGGTGAAGGTTTAAGTTTGTCGACGCAACTTTAATATAGCTTGAGCAAAATTAGGTAGAAATTTATAATAATTGTAATAGAAATTTACTAGAATGTAAAGTTAAGAATATGTAAATACAGCAAATGATAACTTGATATGCCGGGTTGTCAACTTAATGAATAGAAATATGCAATTTTTGTGCAAAATTAGAATTTGGAACCTTCCAAGGTTGTTTAATAAATTTCTTTTTCATGCCATTGTAAGATCTGATTTCCCTGTTTCAGTAATCCTGTTGTCATTGTCAAAATGAGACTACTATCTCTTTCTTTTTTAGACTGCCTGGGCTTTGGTATTTCTGGTCATCCCGTCTTCTTTCATTGCCCATCTAGCCTGCATAACAAGCGGTTTTTTTGTCCCCTTTTTAATGCGCAAAATGCCCATCACCATAAAATGAACAGTAAACTGCAGGACCATTTTTTCTATGGCGCGGGATCTGGTAGGCCACCCAGAAACTGCCACATCGTTAGATCTGGCTACGGATCGGGATCAGTGATCCAAGATCACTCGGATCATTGCACATAAAACGAACCGTCGAATCAACTCTGGGAAAGGATTTATCAGTTCATCAGATGTACCATGATCAGAGTGATCTCGGATCGCTTATCCTGATCCGGATCATCCCAGAGGAAAGCACCCTTTTTTAGAATACTTGACTTTCGCTTGGCTATTTCACTCTAACTTCCTTCCTGACATGACAGAGCTTTGTTATGGCTCAAGAACCGCAAAACCTTTTCTTGCTTTCATGTTTCGGTTCCGTCACAAATTTTCGTTTCCGCCTGATCGCCTGTGTAGCCTGATTCTTGCTGCTTTTGCTAGTCTACTTCAAAGATATCCTTATAGGGTTTGCGTTTTATTAGGGTTTCAGTTTTTCTCTATGTGGAAGTCTCGTACTAAGATTTCCTAGCACTCCCCACGAAGAGACTTTTCCGAGGCCAAGAAAACGGGAGGCGTATGCCCGGGACCAAGTGATCGGCTCCTGCCGAAACCACTATATGGTCTGCCTTTTTTAACGATCAGGGGAGGAAGCGTGGTAAAATATCCTGCCTATTTTGTTTTTGCTTTTGTACTTGAGGATAAGAAAAAAGCTGCCTGTCTTTTTTTCTTTCTTTCTCTCTTTCAATCTGATCGTTTTTAGCAATCAGAAAATGTGATATATTTAAAAAGGCTATTCTATGTCACGAGGTTATTAGTGTTTTAATGCCTTTACCCATGCACAAAATGCTCCTGTAGATCGTCAAACAAATTTTATCACGGAGCATTAACCACAATATTTTTTCATGATTTTGCAGGCACCAACAATAAAACTTGAAAAAAAAAATGGCCCAAGTTTCAATCCACGTCCATCCAAACCCTGCCTAACCTGAGATCAGGCTCTATTTTTCGTTTCGCTTTTTACATTATAAATAAAATTCTGGCGGGAAAGGCGAAACGAAAAGAGAGCCTAATTTTAGCGCGACCACGTAGGAGAGAATGTAGTAACAGAGGACAGAAAGCAGCACTGTCCATTGAAATGAACAAAACTGGACCATTGTTATTATTATCATTTTTTTTTTCAAAAAAGACAACAAATAGCGTGACATACGCACATTGCCCCTTTTCCCTTTAACTGGGTTACAGACGGAATAGAAGATCGGTGATGTGTGACTTCCGCGAAGGAATAAGCTGTAAAGTGAGTGACAGGCACTAAGCAAACTCGTGCTTAGTCTCTTCTGGCGTAGCCTACAATGTAGCTTCTGAAAGTCGTCCTGCATCGATCTGTGGGACTTTGATTTGTGAATTTAAAGTATCAAAATGCCTTGAAACAGGTGGAAATCAACTTCTGAAACCGAAATGTCAGTTAATCCAGCCGCGGTAACTCCCCCTCGTCCTACTAGGAGACTTGTTAGTCCTGTAGCTTTCCAAACAGCCGGGGATAGCGCGGAAGTTATTTGTGATGGCGGGCAGCGACGCGAAAACAGTCACAGTCTGTCTATAAATGTTGATGGTTCCACACCTTCTACCATTTCCATGCCGAAAATTGACTCGTGCATACTTGGGATAGAAACTTTGGAACAAAGAGATAAGTTCACTGTGAGTAATATAGAGACAATTTCGATATTGCTTTCGGTTTAGTTATGCTTGCACTTTTTACACTGTAATACATTAAGCAGACGTCATCTCTGGTTTTCTACTCAGCTGTACAAAATTGAGGTAAACAATGGCTCGAAAACGTGGATTATTTACCGACGATATAAAGACTTCGTGCTTTTAAACAAGAAGGTAAGCTTGATACCTTTCTTGCATTGCGTTTTGTTGTTTTGTGCAAGCAACAAATTTACTATCCGATGCAGTGTGCCCAAAAATTTAAAACTGTAGCTTGTTATAGGTTATAATGTGGATTGTGGACTACCATGTTAAATATGATTCACGTCGACTTTTCAGCACGATGGAGAAGTATTTGCTAGTTAAGAAATCAGCTGTTTTTAGCTTGTAGCTCATAGAGGAGCGATTTCCTCATTTACGTTTAGGGATGTAAGCGTAATTACGTTCATTTTTATTTGATAAGCCTGAGCTTGTATTTTTCAAATTTGTTACAGTTGCGACGGCTTTATCCCCAGTTTCGATTAAATTTACCAGCGAAGCGGTTTTTCAAAGACAATTTTGCAAAAGGTAAGGAAATGAAAATTAATGGCCAAATCGATTATAATTATTTGTAAACAAACTACTATATAGAGAAACACTATTTTTTAACAAACCTCGTAAATGCAATTATACCTCATAGAGTAAGCTTACCGGCAAATTTAAATTTTTCGCAAAGGCGAGGTAACGAGGCAAAAAATCGTACATTACATCATCGTAAAAGGGATTTGTATTTTACATTACCCAGCTGGGAAAGAGGAAGTTATTTAATAATATTAGTGATAATCAAAGTGTATTCACAAACTAGCTAATCGCTCATAGAATCACATGAGGCACCTCGCGACAGAATGGTTTGATTTCAGTGGTAGTTGATTATTAGCTGAATGTCTTTTCTTTTCAGTACAAGATTTGTTAGCATTGATACATCAGTTAGCTTTAATAATAGCGTGCCAAATCTTTTGATTTGTTGTGAGGGACTAAATTGAAAAGAATTGTTAAACTGCATTATTAACATCACCAAAGCACAGCGGATCATGGTTTTTCCCCAAGAAGTGTGGAAGCTCAGGTTACTGTAAAAACCCCCTTCTTGAGAGGGGTCGAGGCATGCGTCATGATCTATTTTCACTTCTGCACTATGACCTACAAAGCATTGTTTTACCACTTTCATGTTCCTTATCATATTAATTATGTCGGGAGGGTTCACTGTTAATTTCTATTGGCAAATAGTTGGTGTCATAAAATTCTACTAGTATTCTGTTGAGCACTGTCTAGTAATTTTATCAAGTATTATCTGTGAAAACTTGTGTCTGATCAGTGGCACTCATGGAGACTCATTTTCTAAGTTTATCAAATATAATCTGTTAGGGATTTACATTTTAAAACTCTTGCCGTATGGAGATGATTTTGGACATTGCAATTCTTCACATGGATGGCCTATTTTGGTTAGAAAGGGATATGAAAACCAGTCATCTGTAGGGATGTTGTTATGGTTTATTTATTTTAGCTATGATTTGTTAAAACGTTGGTTCAACTCTCTGCCATTACTGTATTCTGTTCCAGTTACATGACAATGACACTAACAGTATTAGATCAAGGGTTAAAGCGACGTTTAATTCTCTTGTTGCAGTTTGAAATTAACTGTGAATACAACAGATTTAGTATGCAGCACCAGATTTTGAGCATTTATTCAGAATTTCAATACCTGCATTTGCATACTATATAGTAGCAGCATTCACACATTTTTATGGTATTTTGAAATTAGGTGTTTATTGAATTTTTCCACGTATTAAAACATATAGACTTTATTGAAAGACGTCAGGGTGGTCTTGAAGAATTTACCAGGAATTTGTTTTGTCATCGAAATCTTGTCCTTAGGTAAGCTGAATTTATCCCATAATACTTTGTGTTAAATATAAATCTTAAGACTGTGCTCTTGCCATAGCAGCACTCTGTAGCCTCTAGTGACTAAATTTTTCTCCTGGGCAACTAGAAGTCTTAGTTTTTTGCTTAAAACTTGTGCTGGGACCCATGTTTTCACAAAATTCCTGCCATTTTTCTCATAGCTCATGAGTCTATTAATGATTTTTCTATGTAATATTCTGCTTGAAGCTGGTTGTCAATGAGCTGTTTTCTGGTCCTTAAAACTTACCGAAAAGCCATTTGCAGGCTGGCACTTCGTAGCCTTTTGTTCCAGATGCAAATATCAGCTTCCAACGTTTGGGCATGTGAAGGAGCAAAATTTCAGGATAGTTTGTAGGCTTGAAAGTGACACAGCAGTCTTGACTTTTTCCTTTCACTCTCCCTCCCCCCTCTTTTTTTGCTTTTCTTGCCCTGTTTTTTTTTTTTCTTTTTCTGAGCATTTACCAGGCTTAGTGGGTGTGTAGTGGAACAAGATTTTCTTCCAAAATTTTTCAGGTCAATTTTACATGGGTTTTTGCCTTTTTCTCTGGCCTGATTGACTTAATCATGCTCATTCTGACATCACAAGCGTTGCAAGGGACTTGAATCTGCATGGGCAGTTCAGGGTGAATGGGTTAATATTATTTTTTGAGAATTCATCCGATTAATAAGGATTTGATTTGCTAATAACTTTTCTATGTTGATCTTATTTTATCATGACCAGTGACCCAGTTCAGAGATTTTACCGACTGATTAATCCACCACAACCCAGTGAAAGCTGGGAAGCTAGCCTGGTATGTAAATTTTAGGCATCTTACACTTGGGAGTAAATAAGTAATGTTTTTTAAAGTAATAAAGAGCACTTTTAGTATTTGCAAATAGTGGTCTACATTCAGTTGAATCTCCTGTAAGCAACCACTCAAAGTGGGAAGATTTAGTGGTCGCTTATGCAGGGCTTCTGATATTTCATGCGGTTGCGGAGCCGCGAAATTCACAAAAACAGGAAAAATAGCACAAGATTCAGTGTGTATCTTATCAAATACATGTCTGTACAACATATTTGAAACTTATTTCAGCTATTGGGGCTGTTTCCTTGTCGTAAACTTGCAAATTTGTCTTGGAAGTTTGCCCCGAAAACTCCTGCGAAATTACTGCAGAATCGGCCAATTTTTCCGCGAATTTGTCAGTAAAAATCCCGCAAAAGTAGACTTTTTTTTCTGCGACCTGTCAGAAGCCTTGCTTGTGGGAGGTGGTCTTTTACGAGAATCAAACCACAGGGGGTCCCTTTTGAGAAGAGGTTCTGACACATACATACATGTAGTTTCAAATTTTCAGTGAAAGTATACTCTGGGTAGCGTGTATAGTACTTGCCTCAAAATGCCTCAAGAGTTCGCTTACAAGAGGTTAAAAACAGTGGAAAACTATAAAACCAGCTGGGCAAAAAGTGGTTGCAGTCACTTACAAGAGGTGTTCACTTACAAGGAAATTTTTGGTGTTTTGGATAGAAGATCACTTATGAGAGGTAGTCACACATGGAGCTGTGATGGTATAAATAATATATTGCAGGGAACATCAACATGCCCTGGGGCATTACAGGTTGATGACATACGTTAATTATCATATGACATTTCATATATCAAATTATTTTTTATGTCATTTTCTCACTCCAATGAATTTTTCAGAATTATTGTCAGTCACTGGAAAGGGCATTAGCAGAATTGCGGCAACAGCATCGTGACCTGAGTGCAGAGCTGAATTCTGTGAAGATAGAGTTGGCACAAACCAAGTACTATAAAGATGAAAATCAAGACCTTACAAACCACCTCCAGAAACAGCAGATTGATGTTGAGGAAGTCACAAAGGTTGAAAACTCCTTCCTTTCTCTTTAGACCAATGCAATAGTTTCCCATTAAAAAAGAAAGTATCAAATTATCATTTTTATTGGTTAAGGCAAGAGACAGATGATCATTGATCATCATTCTCTTTTCCCCTTCAGAGCCTGAGAGATCAACTGGCCATTGCTTTAGAAAGTGAGAGGAAAGCGAAAGAAGAAGTAGAAAAATTAAGGGAAGAAATGAGAGCTGAAAGGGCATCAGTTCAGGCGGCAAGAGTAATACAGAGGCAGAAGAGAGAGGTTGAAATTAAAAGGCAAATGGATACATTCAGTCACTCACAAGAGGCAGTAAATCAAAGACTTGATTCTCTTGTCACGTCCTTAAGTCATCTCTCCAAGGTTCAAGTTGAGATTGGGGGAAGAAAAGTTGGTAAGCGTAACTTTTTAGCACCTCCCATGCATTCATGCCTGTACAGTAATATTATTACTCTCTGCTTGAGCCTCACCCTTCTGGTTGTCTTCCTATGCACAGATAATAATATTCTGAAGAGTGCACAAAAGCCTCCTCACAAGTCACCTTTAATAATTATTGTCATCAGGACTCCATTGTGGTTTTTGAAAACTTGTTGGCCTAAAAGTTCTTCAAAGTTCATTTTTGCTGTTTAAAATGTTTGATAAAAATGCTTTGTAATTTGCTTATGTTAAGTTCCTAGCAGAAAGGGACTTGTGATTGGCAATTATTACAGTCAAAGCAGGTCAAGCGTTCCTGTCGCTAAGCAACTAATGAATTCATTAATGGAAGAATGATTCGGTTTGTCGATTCAATAATCCATTCATAAAATGAATAATCCAATAGTCAAATTGGGCCTCGATTCAATAATTAAATGTTGATTTGGTTTATGAACAAAATCAACCTGTTCTTTTCTTTGCTGTCTGTTGTGTTCAATCATACCCGTACGAAACGAGCAGCGCTGCTGCAGCACTGCAGAATGGCTTCAAGAAGTGCTACAAAAGAGCTGTAAAGGCGCTGGGCTGCAGCAGCCGCAAATTTTGGCTCAGTGGAAAGCCCTTTGACAGCAATAAACAGCGTTTTTGCAGCGTTGCAGAAAATTCCTGAACCACGATCTGCGTTGCAAAGTGGCTGCAAAGTGGCTTTAAAAAGACAAAGAATGTTGTTACCGGTAATCAGCCCTACCACTTGTAGTACAAAAAAAAAGAAATGCAGGCTCCAATAATACAATAATCATGATACATGGTAGAGGAGTTGACAAGGCCTCAGTAGCAGAGTAAAAAACACTAGAAATTCAAAATGCAACTTATACTTTATTAGTATCCACACATACACGTTACAAAAGCACGTGACATAGAACAAATCTGCAGCAGTCTCGCTTTGTAAATATTTAGCAATCACAGTCACTCATCTAAATGTAAGAACACCTATTAACATGCAGACATTGAAAATTATCTTTTTTAAAAATAAAGAGAATAACAGAGATTGTTCTACATAAAGTTTACACGGACAGCAGCCAAATGAAATTTTGATTCGCTGCAACGGGCTAAGCTGGATTTTGCTCACCTTGACGTTTTGTCCATGATCCACGATCTTCTACACTTTTTTCATGAAAGAAATCAACCCAATTTTACTTTGGTCGTCGTTAAATTTTACAATGGACTATAAATATTAAGGAACAAACATTACCACGAGCGTATAAAAATCTTGTAAGTGCAAACCCCATCTGAGAGATTCTTGTATCTGTGTTGCTCGCTCTGGTTCGATTCGTCGATACTTAGCGTAGAAGTCACTGTTCAGTGCGTTGTTTGCAAATACGTTTGAGCTGTTCCATCCAAAAACCTCAACAGAACTTCCATCTCGAAGCAGAACTAGATGCAAAAAAAAATCAGAATGTTTGCGCCTTTCATTCAACGGTCGCAAATGTTTGGGTGATCCCGTGTTTGTCTAGAGATGTAATGGGATCTCATGCAAAAGGACCGACCAAAGATTACGGCCTAGTATGTCGCCAGGGAATTAGCGATAACATTCCCACACTCGTCGGTCACGTAATGAAATTTATTGAAATCTTTATTCCGAAAGCGTAGAATTTGGAGGTTTATTCAATAAGTGATCTTCCTTGCGCACAAGCTTACTCACATTTCTTAGAGGTACAGTCAAAGTTTTCGCGTTATAAAAGGCTTTATCTGGTGATTCATGTTATTGGCGCTTAAGAAAGTCAGATCGACCGCAGCTGAATTTTAGCATTATTGCAGCTACTTTGCAGCGTTTGAAAGTCGGCAACTGCACTGCAAAACCGCTGCCGAGAACTTCAAAGAGCCTTCAAAGGCTGCACAGAGCTTTTGCATCCCGCTGCAACTTGAATGAAGCTGCTGTTTGGCTTCTAAAAGGCTGCTGAACAGCTGTAATTTAGCTGTACAGCTTTTTTGAAGCGATTTTGTGGCGCTGTACAGCGCTGCAAGTTTCGTACGGGTATTTGCTTCCCTTTTCCTACCATTTACAATTTCATTTTTCATTGCCTTTAATCAAAATAACAGCTAGAATAGAGACACACCTAATCGAACAGTGCCTTTCCCAGTATTAGGGTTTTCTTCAGCTGGAAAACTAAGAGTCCAATAACCCATGTTTTGATCTTTTCATCCATTGGCTGATAAAACAAATTAATAACGAACACTTACCGAAACCATTTTTCAAGGTCATATGAAAATCACTCTTATTTGAAGTTTTCAACTTAAACTTTAGTTATTGTTTGATTCTCAGAAGTGGATACAAATGATGACATTTCAGAACAAGCTGTTCAGCTCAAAAAGGTATACATAGAGCTCTTCATGTAATAATTATTATTGACTTACTTGCACAGGAGCAATGGTGGCACAGTTGGTAGGTGTGTGAGGTCCCGAGTTCGATCCCCGGTGACATCACATCCTTGTTTCAACTTCTCTGCTTTCTGTATAGCTTTGACGAGCTCTAAGTAACCTTAAAATGGAGCATTGAAGGAGAGAGGGGCAGGGTAAAATGAGCACACCATTGACCTCTAGTTTATCAGTTATTACTGTCACACATTATCAATGTAAAATATGGTTGCTTTACCATTTTTTTTACCTTTTACACTGTTACAACCTTAAGGTGAATTACTGGTACACTGTTTTTCATCACTAACCTTTAACTGTTAATTACCGTATTTATTCGATTAACCACCCTGGGCGCTTATTAAATTTTTGGACCTTGAGAGTGGGCGCTTATTCGAGGTGGCCGCTTATTCGAGGCTGGGCGCTTATTAAATTTTCACCATTCTAAGCAAGTGTAGTGGTATATTTTGCAAAAAAGCAGTAATAACAAAAAGCGAAGATGTAACAAAGCAAGGTTCTGAGGAAAGCTCCGTCTTCGGGAGGGTCTCTTATTACCTTATTGGAGTTTTTGTGGGAGGGAGTAGGGTGGGGTGGGCGCTTATTCAAGGCTGGGCGCTTATTAACTTTTTCTGTTTTTAAGATGGGCGCTTATTCGAGGTGGGCGCTAATTCAAGGTTGGGCGCTTATTCGAAATAAATACGGTATAACAGGACTATTGTCTTTGGAATTAGTAACTAAGACACAATCGCTAGAGGTGCTAAACTTAACTTAATTTGATATTGTATTATATGAAATGTAGTGTTTTGAATTTTTATTGTATTAATATTACCGTAATTCTTATCGCCAAAGGTAATAAATAAAGGTATTATTATTATTATTATTATTATTATTATTATTCTTTCAGGCTCTTGATGAATCAGGAAGTCAACTTGAAAAAATTCATAGGAATACTTTGGAGGTAGAAAAAGTTATTTTCTATAAAGATTTATATTTCATAAGCCACCCTCTTTACTAAATTTAAATTTCTCTTGGTTAATTTCCTCCTTTTTTGTATTCAAATTTTTCTTCATATTAATTTACAAGTGACAGCGTTACACTGAATGATTGAGAAGTTCAACCACAGTCAACTCTTCTTATAGCGGACACTATAGGGACCTTGAGTTAGTGTCCTCATTAGCGAGAGTCCGTTACTAACAGGAGTTTATTTCAGTCAAATGCCTGTAATTTATTTTTGCCTGGGATTAAGCTGCTGTCCATATTATTGGGGTGTCCATTATAGGGAGGAATGTTACAAGAGTAATGGGCTTATTTTATGTTTCCTTAAACCATCTCATGATGAAAAGAGATGCATATGACACAATCACAATTAAATCAAGCTGCTCTAGATCTCCTCTAAAATGTTATTTTTCTGCATGCAGATGTATGTTCAAGAAGTAGAAGACCTGAAGGCTGAATGTTCAAGAGGAGATTTTCTTGCCAAGGTATTTAATAACTTGTTGGCTCTTTCCAGAGCTGTCAATGTTTGAAACCCACTCAAATCATTATTACTCTGCGCTAGGATTTGCTTTGATGAAATGAGGGCTAGCACTCTGAACATCAGCTTTTGAACACTTTTATGATAGCTGGTTTAACTGTTCAATCAATAAATTATTGTAACACCACTTTTTTTTCCATTCTCACATAAATGCGGCAGTGAAATGTTTTGTAGAATTCTTCATTTTTATTCGCTTATACCTTGCAATTCAAATGTATCTGAAAATAACTTGTTGTTTCTCAGCTTTTGGTCATAAGTAAACATAGTAACTGTAACTAAAACTCCCCAGATTCCCTATCATTCCTTTTCCAACAATATAATTATTTGGTTTAAGTCAAGGAAGAATAAGAGCAATTTGATGGCTGTTCTTGTGGGCTGTGCATAGTGGATCATTAAACCATGGCCCATTTTGCATCATTCAGTGATCTAGTACATATTTTGCTACTGACAAAAATGATTATGGTAATACATGTACCAGCAATAAACTTTATACATGGGGACACTCACAAAGCTTAGTAAGGTTATAACTGATTTAGTGTCTACATGTATTTTTGATAATAATCCTCAGGCAAGAACCCAAGAGGCAGAGACACTGAAAGCAGAGAAGTCTGATCTTCAAAAAAGATATGAGGATGGAATGAAGGTACTTTTAGATCTTAAATGTATGAATCTTGGCAAGGCTATTCAAACCAGGGTTACGTTAAGTGTAGACTACGAGTAGTCCCCCATTTTTCCTCAAGGATAGTAGAGCGGGCGAAACGCGAGCGTGCGTGAAAATCACCCCACGCGAGAAAAGGCGACACGCGGCGGGGAGAGAGAAAAATGAGGGACTACAGACAAAGCCCAAGCTTTTGAACTAATGCGTTGCTCTCACAACGCAAAACTCTGATTGGCCCTTCCATGGAAATCTGTCAGCATCTGTCAAAAATGCGCCAGCCGCTATCAACACTCGACATAATTACAATTTACAGAACAAATAACTAGAGTTGCTCTTGTTGAAGAAACTAAGCAGNTACGTTAAGTGGGGACCCTAGAGTGGAGGGGGGTTGGGGATTTGTCTGCTCGGGGATGCCTGGAATCCTTAGCGTATACCAGACATAGTTCAGTTGAATTTTGCCACCCTATACTAGACTAATAGACTCTAAACATCCCTGTCTTTCCTATCCTTTGTTTAAATCTTTAATGGTCAATTGATCAGTTTCGCAGAAAATAATACACTATTGTAGACCCAAACTCTCTGATTTCTATACTTATCCCAGATTAAGTTAAAGTTAAGTGGGGACCCTAGGGGCGGGAGGGGGGAATTTAAGGATTTTGGGGTCGGGATTTGTCTGCTCAGGGATGCCTGGAATCCTTAACGTATACCAGACATAGTTCAGTTGAATTTTGCCACCCTATACTAGACTACTACACTCTAAAAATCCCTGTCTTTCCTATCCTTTATTTAAATCTTCAATGGTCAATTGATCAGTTTCCTGGAAAATGATACACTATTGTAGACCCAAACTCTCTGATTTCTATACCTATCCCAGATTAAACTACTCGAAAACCATACCCTTCAGAACAGCACATACTACTTATTTCCCATTATAGAGCAGTTCTGCAACCCCCCTTCCCCCACCCCCACCCCTGAAGTTAAGCCAAGGTTAATGGGAGATTTAAATTCAGATCTGAACACTTACAACGCATACTCAGGTGCATTCCTTTTGCCCACTATTTGATGTTTGGACACTCTGAAGTGACTAGTTAAAATTCTTTAAGAAAATGAACTTGGATTATGATTTAACCCTAAGTCGTCAATGATGATAATTTTTTATTGCAAACTGAGCTTAGAGTTGTTAAAACTAACAGCCATACTAAGGTGAGTTTAAATTTCTTTTGACTCCACATAATTTTCTAGTTTTTTGTTTAAAGCTATACATATTTATTTGAAGTAAGCAATGGTCAGTTGAACTTTTGCTTTATACTTACCCTTTATTTTGTTATTAAAATTTCTGTTTTTTTGTTACAGGCTCAAGTTAATTACATCTCACAGCTTCAAGCAAAGTTTAATGACCTTCAGCGATATGCAGTTACAACTGAGGAGGTAAATGAAATGGAATTAATAGCATCAAAATTCTGTGGAGCAAAAGTTGATTAACAATAATTGCTGGCACTTTGCTCCATATCACTTTTCTCTTATGTATGGTTTTCAGCAAGAGCCTCTGTATTGATACCTGCGGACTTTGATTTCATTGGGTGTTTTCCATCTGCAACTCGTTGGTTTTTCAGACAAAATCATCGCATATCAACCTGGGTTGTTTTGTGTGGTAATGCTATTAGCAAGGTGAATGCAACCACAACAACGATGGGAAAAACTAAATGAGAAAATCAGGAAATCAAAAACTCTGAGCATGCAACACACTTTTTGGCAGGATTCTTGTCTGGCATTGCATGACTAGCATTGCCAAACTTGATTGAAGTGGCAATGCGATTGTTGCGACTTCTATTTCGTCATTGACTGTTTATCATCTTCATTTCCAGAAATACTTCTTCTCACTTGTTATTGGTGTAAAACTCAACATGGCTGTGTGTGGCTACAGGGTTGGACGCATGAATCACCTGAAGCCTGAGGTAGTAACCAAAAGTTAACCAATGTGTATGATAACTTGAGATCTAAATGGCTGAACCTCTAGTTTTGATATGCAGTGCATTAATAGTGTGCACATCATCGATTATGATGGATCGTCAATCGAGGAACCTTAAGCAATTGATACAATAATTGATCATGGAAAATGTTTTAATTGATTTTCACAGACAAATAGAAAAAAAAATTGTTGACAAATAAGAATGATAAAACTTTGTTGTTTTCTATCAATTAAAAAGGAAAAAATACGAAAATCCATTGATAATCCTTTTTTGATTTATTATTTCACATCTCTGTGTCACGTTCACAGCACCACGCCTGTTTAAAGCAGCTGTGTCACGAAATACAGCCAAATTAGGAAATTACAAAATACTTGTTAAAGTTAAGAGGAACATAAAAATAACTGCTTAAAACTTTAAGGGAAGGTAATAACATAACAGAAACAACAGATGCTATGGATAGGCAAAACTGAAGAAGATTGAAACGGATTGAAATTAGGGTTTTTGAAAACTGTTCAGCCTAACAATTTTTCAAAGTTGATCCTTGCTGCTTGCAACTTCAAAAATAATGCTCAGGAGACATATTTGTTTGTCTTGGGTCTCTTATTTTGTCATTTTCATGTAATTTCTTTGCTTACTTTAAGTTCCGTAGCGATTGAGGGCGAGTAATTGACAAAATTAAACAAAATGAACTGGACTGATTCCTTTGACGTTGTGTCTTTTAAACGCTAAATAATGATTTTTTTTGGCAGAAACTGTTTGAACGAGTTCGAAATCATGGGATCTCAATAGAACATTGGCCAAGCTGGTTGTCAAGGGAACTGTCAACAGCATCAGCGACACCTGAACACGAGGATGAGGAATGATACCTTTTGTTTTCTAATTCTGTAAAATGAAATGAAGGGATAGGTGGAGAAAGTGAGAAAGGTTCCTAAAGTGACTCCCGATAAACCGTGAAATTCTCCTCTACGAAACAAAAGGAGAATTTGACATTAATCAGAGTCATGTAGGGCCATATTTTTCATGCTCCCCTTCAAATGAAGTGTCATGTGTTGTTGTGGTCCTGGATCTACTATGCTGCGTCTGTGTTCGTGGGACTATTTCTACAGTTGCATGCAGAATTCGTATTTATGTACATTAGGAATGGACAATTGGAAAGGTGAAGTGGCGGGGGGACAATTTTTTTCCATTTTATTCCTCTCTATCTCTACTTGCGAGCAGAGGCCTTTCGAACTTCGTAGATAAGTTGGGAAGAGCGATGGGCCTCTGATTGCAGGGTACTACCCAGATAGCGTAAAAAGAGATTAAGCTTAATCTGTCGAACAAATTGAATAAATAACAAAGCACACACTAGAAACGAATATTGTAATATATAATAGATGAAAAAATTGATATTTTAAATTTTGAAATATTATTGGGTGTCTGGCTTAAAAGCCAAACCCAATAGATGCTAGAGAAAAATGGAGCAGTTACAACCTCGTTCCCAGGGTTCTCTCCTATCCATCCTCACGGCCGGGTACGAAGCGAGAGAGAGACGGGTAGGACAGAGAACCTGGGAACGAGGTTGGGAGCAGTTACTCAGAAGGTCAATTATTATTCTTGAAGAGAATTGCGGTAATGTGGATGATATTTATTTAGTGATTTTGAGGTTTCAAGCAGGATATGGGACTTCTTCATGTAATATCCAATCGTGAATTATCATATTGTGAAATAGGGAACAAATGCAGCCGAGTCTTTAAAGCGTCTTTCGAATGTCTTCTTATCTTGTGAAACACTCCTCCGTATGACGGTATGGTTGATATGGTGTTTTGGAAGATCAGTAAAGAAATACAAGAGTGCACTGAATTGTATCATACTCTTTTTAGACAGTGCCTCTGTGTTCTCTCCGGCTTGTTACCCGTGGAAATTAGTTCTTACGTTGTATATAGTGACTGAATCATTAAATGCATTTTTAGTCGGGAAATGTATCAAAATTAACGAAGAGCTAAAAATAAAAGGATATTATTTTTTATTGCTTCTCTTTGATTTGATTTGATGATTTCTACAAGGTTTGTTGCTACTCCTCAACCTCTTAGCCTGCGAACGGAGGGAGAGAGGCGACGACCGGAAATACGTCAGTTGTTCGCAGGCTACAACCTCTAGGCTCGATTACAGCCCCTGTTCCGGAAATGAGCCCGCGCTTCTCCACCGAGAGAGCAGCGGAAATTTTGTCACGTGCCGCTCAGGCTCTCGCATATGAAAGTTTTTAGAAACCTTTGGCCTTATAGCGGAGCTCCACCCGCGCGCGAAGCGCGCGCGTGGGCGGAGCCCCATAGCTAAGGAAATGTGGTAATCTACCCATCCCAGAAAATTTGGTAATCACGTGACCGTACACCGAGCGAGCGATCGAGCGAGCGACCGTCCGTCCGCACCACAGGCATACCAATGTAAAATAACTCAATCAACAGGTATGGGAAGCCAAATGCAACTCAAGGATTTATTTGGAAGGAAATCACATGGCCGCCCGGACTTTTAGAAAGAAAAAAGTCGTGTCTTTTTCGGCGTTATTTTTTATGTGTACACTAACGTGGATAACAGAGAAAGAGCTAGAGCGAGTTATTGAAAATTCGTAGGAAGAAAAACATGGAAATTCAGAGCGGCGATGAGAAATGCTAGCGGCCAGCAAGGTGAAAATGAGCGGCAGTGAAAAATAAAAGCGAACATGAACACTGGAAACAAAATATTGGGTAAGCACATACGACAATTTCTCCATAAAAATAGTGTGTAACTAGGAAGTTTGACGTTTTAGTAGTACAAAACAGCGTTGTAGTCGTGCAAAACAACGGCAAGGGAAAGACAAAAAAGCGTGCTGCACGTGCAAATTTGTTTTTTGCTAATTAGAAGAAAAAGTGTGCTGCACGTGCAATTTGTTTTTTTGCTAATTAGATCTATTAGTCTTGAAGCCATTTTCATTGTCGTCCCCCGTTTAGCATAACAAGATTTATTTTTTTTTAGTTTACACGTATTATTAACCAGAGCTTCGCTTTTAGCCCTGGCTAAATCTATATATTAAATGAGGGAACAAAAACGGTAATACTCCGTTCTACGTTCCAGATAGTACGCCAGTCCCCCGGGGGATGGGGTAGGTATGTGCTGCTTTCAAGCAGTCTAATCTGTGGTAGGGTAGGGAAATCAGAGATATGGGGTCTAGAATAGGCAAACATTTTCCTGGAAACTGAACAGCTGGTTGAACATGTTAGTTAAGACAAGGGTAACCGGTAATTAGCACTCAGAAAGGACCAGTCGGGCACGGGAAGGAAGGACTCTTCAAAGTTTAGTTTACCGGAACTCAGTTTATTACAGCTATTTTGGAAAATACACGACCTACGATTTCAAAAACGTTTTTGGATTTTGAATTTTCCGCAACGTCAGTCAAAATCTGATTTGTGATTGCTTGATTTCGATCCGTTTTGTGTGGGTTCTTTGCTTTTGATCATGAACTTCAGAGATTGCGTGTTTCACTTTATAGATGTCAAGGTTTTTTACCTTCTTTATACCGAAACATGGCAAGTTTAAATTCCCAAGGTGAAATTGTTCTTATAGAGCTTCCAAATCCAGGAGAAACACAGATATGGGAAGGTGAAGACGAATTGGTAGGTTCGGTTCCCACCCACATTTATTTTTGCAGCTTCTGTTCGTGATTGCCGCTTTTTTTTTGACAACGAAGGATTAGATGCTATGGTAACGGTTTGATTGACGTCGAAGAGAAACCCAAAATCCTGAAACGTTTTCGGCGACGCAGGTCGCGTGTTATCGGAAACAGCTGTAAATGACAAAGAAAGCGTCGACCTCAGTGGTACAATTGGGATAGGGAAGTTGGGTTACAAAGTCCCACCGCACATTCCACCCCAAAATTCCTTGAGTAATACCCCTGGGACCCGTCCCTCTGTTGGAAACTAATTACCCCGCCCGCATAAGGTATTTTCAGGTGCCGGTATAATGTAGTTGTTGCGTGACTTGTACGGCAAAAAGTTACCCTCTTGTTTGTGGCTTGTAAATTTGTGGTGACGATTCAATGATGATAGTGTCTCTTAACACGTTTGTAGATATTGACCTTGTCTCAAAGTGGTCACAAAATAAACATTTTCAAGGAGTTTTCTCTCTTTTTGCCCTCAAGCGAAAAAGAGCAACCAGTGTCGGTAAAGTTTGAGGTTTAGTATCAAGAAAATTTGCGGAATTCCCACAGAATGATAAGAGGTTTTACCGGAATGTTAATATGGGGTTTGACGGAAAGAAACCGGAAAGATTAAAATCTAGAACTAGTGTTGAAGTGAGCAAAAAATGGCGTTTGGTTAAAAACCGTCGGGAAATCGTGGGTAATGTATTTTTTTACCTTGTGGTTGCAATGTAGCTATGATGTGTCATCAGTTTAATCTAGTTTTTTTTGCTTCATGTGCTTTTGTTATTAAATAATAGATAAGAGTTGTTCTTTTGTTTTTTTTTTTTTGGTTTTTTTTTTTTGTGTTTTTTTTTGGGGGGGGGGGGGGGGGGGAAGTAGCAAAATTTGGGTGTTCCCATTATGATAAAAGTTCCAAACATCTTTTTAGGGTAGCTCTAGTGTCGAAAATGGTGTTTTCTCTCTGTTAGAAAGGGAAGGGAAAGGGAGTTTTAGGTGCCAGAGAAACGCGAGGGGCTCCTCGCGCCCAAAACCCCCTTTCCCTTCCCTTTCAAACGCCTGCCACGCAGGCTATCTCTCTGTCCGCTCTGAGAACTTCTCCCAAAACGTGAAAAGGTTCTGAAACAATATTGCTCTGAACACATTCAGATGCTTTATTGGTTGGCTCTACGTACATTTGCATGGGGTTGCTATCAAGTATACAGGTGTTAGAATCCCAGTTATGAAACAGAGTATTGATTTCCGGGTGTAGATTTCTTGGCTGTAATTTGATTTCTCAGCATACGTTTTCCGACCGTGATAACTTTTTAAAAAATAACACGAGATTGCTGTATGCATAATAAATTTATGAGGCTGTGGGGAAATCTTACCACATAATTTCTCGAATCTTGATTGACAGTTAGAATTTAAGCCAATTGTCGACTGTTAAACAGAGCGGCGTCAAGTGTCCGCAGATGACCTGACCCAGGTTGAAAGCCCCACCCCTCCCTGCCCTGCGGCACATTTTGGCCAGGCCACGCCGTTCACTGCACACTTTGTTTACTGCGTACAGGATCTCTGAACGTGCGAACATGGCGGACGAGGAGCGAAAGGAAGAGCCCCAAGCAAAACCAGAAGCAGAAGAGAAACCTGAAGAAAAGGCCGAGGAAAAGAAAGAACCGGAGAAGCAACCGGAGCAGCCGACAATGCGAAGTGTTTTCCTCACGGGCTACGGCGGCTACAACAAACTTCAAGTGCAAAAACACGCCAAGCCTAAAGCCACGAGTGGGCAAGTTGTGGTCCGCGTTCACGCATGGTGAGTTTTATTTATGAGCTTGTTGATTGTTCTTTCAGCTGATTTCGTGGTAGTCCTCATGTTGTCGCCAAAACAACAAGTGTCTTTCTGTGGAATGCAATTTAATATTTCAATCCATAGCTATTACTATACACCAACGAGGACGATTTGGGTTTTTCCACCACTCTTTTAAGATAGGCTTTCGAAACCCGGGGGCCAGTTTACATTATTAAAAACTTTGTCGATAAATTAACATTTGTTTCTTTCATTGACTTAGTGAAGCAACATACAGTTTCCTTTAAAATCAACCTTTTTATAGCAAGAATTGATTCGAGTGTTCCTGGTGAATGAAAATGTGGGAGGGGCTCATGAAACCCTTGATCGGTGGATCGTGTAGCCCTTTAGTGCTCCGATCGTTAGCGATCCAATTAAAACCAAACCGAAGTTGTGATAAAAATAGGTATAGCGAACTTAAATGTTTTGTTTGTGCCTCATTTAAAACAACAAATCCTGCGAAATTGGCAGTGTGTATTTCAATTACAGTCTTGATCGTCGTCCATTACGCATTTGCAGTGGCGTTGATGAGTCTAAATATTTTATTACGATCCATATTTACTTTCTCTCAAGGATATTTTTATAGTAAATACCAATAAAATTGCGTTATTTCTGAATTATTGCGCGCTCAATTTTATTTTTCTGTTGGACACACAATGAGCCCTTAATAAGCCATTAATTTTTACACTTGACTTGATAATTCGGGTGTAGAGGAAAATTCCATCAATTAGTAACAGTAGTGACCTAAATTATATACAAAAGAATGCATACTTTGAAGACAAAAGAAAATTTTAAACCCAGGACAGGACTGGAA